CACTCACTCCACGGCTGTTTGTGGGACATTGCAGTGCGCAATTGTGCTGCCGTGTTGGCCTACAAATACCCAGTCACTCCACTTCACAGTAAATCTTGTGAAGCATTTTGCGATGTCCTTCCAATGTAATGAGGCGCTGCATCAAATGCAAGGATTATTATTATTATTAAGTTTTGTACAGGCTCCATGAGCAAGAGTCAACAACCCGCCTCTCTGTTACTCCATGCCCTGGTACCTCCCTAACTTTCCGACCTGCTCACGCCCCACTCCTCTAACCAGCCCCCTTAGCTGGCTGTGTCCCTTGTCCTCTCCGCTCCATCATTGGTGACTGTGCTTTCAGCCAATATGTGCTGAGCCTCTGGAATCTCTGCCTCAATCCATCCGCTTTTGCCAACCAATTTGTAGAGAAGCTGATTTCTCCTCAACAATGTCCCGCAAAAGGCCATTTGAAGTGAATGACCGACTTTATCTCTTGGATTGTTGGCCAAGGCCCAGGATTTTGATACAGGCGATTATCCAAATTAAGATTTTTCTGATAGGTTAATGATGATTAGTGCCCTGCTGACAAAACGCAAATCCTCCATATTTTTACTTTCCTTTACAAAATATATATTTATTAGTATACTAGCTGTACCTGTTGCAGCTACGATTGCAAACAAAGGATCCAATATGGAATGTAGATTGACACACAGACAGATACACAGGCATTTCATCCTTATCTATACTCATTTGGGAGGATTCCTTTTGGAAGTACTCAGTGGGAGGATTCGGTGCTTTAAAAACGTGACTTTGTTGTTGTTGCCATGGCTTAGCTTCGTCTGTGTTCTTTATTTTGTTCCCGCCGCTTGGCTACGTGCATGCTCTGTGACCCAGGATGCCACATGGCCACTTACACATGAGGTGTAACTGCAGTGAAAAACACAAAACTGAAAATAACTCATGAACGATAGGAGATACCCAAAAACAAATATGCAATGTCACTCCCAGTGCAAGACCTTTCCGATGAGGTACAAAATCATGTCTCTATGTCAATCAGTTATTGAGATCCTTCTTGAAGTGCAGACATTGTTGTTTTATTAGTATAAATAAAGAAGATAGAAAAAGATATATACTTACACTTATCTCAAAAGGAATAAAATCCTGTGACAGAAAGAAGAAACACAACACATTATTATCCCGTTACAAGATGCAACAGACATGGCCTCTTGTGGCGAGTGGAGGGGGATTGCCTCTATGCATACTATGGTGGAGGGACCAAGGCTTTCCCGTGTCGGGGTTCTGCCACCCTTTGCAGGGCGCAATTACAAATAGGGTATTGTACTCCCCCTCCCTATCCTTTCCCCTTTATGAGGAGTGTGGACAGGTTTAAAACACCCATCAGTTGTGACTTTCCCTCCGCTCGTTTGTGAGAGACACAAATAATATCCTCTCTATCTGTGACCAGGGCTCCCTTTGCCTCCTTGTCCTCCCGGACCTCTCCACCGCGTTCAACACAGTCAATCATGCCATCCTCCTTCACCACCTCTCCTCCACAATTCACCTCATTGGGACTGCACTCGCTTGGTTCGAGTCCTACCTTACAAACCGCCTGCACTACATTTCTGCTAATTTTTTTTCTTCTCGCCGCCGCCCGGTCACCTGTGGGGTACCCCAAGGCTCCATCCTTGGCCCCCTTCTTTTCCTCAGCTGTATGCTCCCTCTGGAGCTGTCATCCGCAGACTTCCACATGTATGCAGATGACACTCACTATACTTCTCCTCCTCCAGCTGCAGCCCCTGGTCCTCTGATGTTGTCAACTTGTCTGACAGACATCAAGGCCTGGATGAGCGCAACCTTCTTGCAATTAAAGGTCAACAAGACGAAAGGCATACTCTTTGGCTCCCTTCGACGTTTTCTGTCCTGCGGTTCAGACCTCCTCAATCTACCCAATCTGTCCTTAAAACTCTCTGAACCAATGCGCAACTTAGGCATCAGGTTTGATCTCCAGTTATCCTTCCTCCCCCATATCTGGTCCCTGACCAGGACCACTTTCCTCCACCTTCGCCACATTGCCACCTCTGACAATACCTCACTCCACAAGCTGCCGAAACCCTTGTCCACGTCTTCGTCACCTCTCGGCTGGACTACTCATAAACACCCTCCTTACTTCCTCCACTATTCACAAAATTCAACTCATCCAAAAGTCTGCCACCCGCATTCTCACCCACACTAAACTCTGCACCCCGTTTACCCCGGTCCTTGCCAAACTCCCCTGGCTCCCTGTCACAGAGCAGATCGACTTCAAAATCCTCACTAGTGTTTAAATTCCTCCATGCCTTGGCACACCCCTATCTCTCCAACCTCCTCTCTCCTCACAGCACTACTTGCTGCCTCTGCTCTACTGGCTCTGGCCTCCTCGTCCCTCAAATCGTCCACCATTGGTGGCGTGCCTTCCGCTACCACCCCGAAGCTGTGAAGCTCTCTCCGTCAAACCCTTCGCCTCGCCCCCTCTTTCCTCATTTTCAGGTTGCGCCTGAAGACCTTCCTCTTCAACCGTGCTCACCTTCCCCCTCCCCCTGACCCAGCATTGGGCTCCACCATTGTTAAACGCTCTGGGACGCTGCCTGACATGGAAGGTGCTATATATATGGTTGTTGTTGATGTGCACACATTTTTTTGGAACGCTGTAAGAGATTCAGGAGGAGGCTATACCAAAAGGTTGTGTACAAAAGAAACTTTATTCAGCTTGACAAACATATCATTAAGCAACGTAATCATTAGACAATAAAATACAAAGAGAACAATATTACCCATCCTCCTTGGGGAATGCGCTCCACACGATACCAACTATTTTCCCTCTAGATATTCTCAATTTATATTGTTAATGGTTGTAATTCACCACCTCCTTGTCTTATTAGGAATTCATTGCCTTATTAGAAGTTCCTTTTAAGTTACTGCTATCAAGGTATGCACCTTCGTGACGCTGCACAAAACACTCCACAACTCCATATAATAATAATATTTCTTGCATTAGATATAACACCTTATTACTTCTTCGTGACACCTGAAAGAGCTTCACAGAATATACTGTAAAGTGGATTGACTGTGTATTTAGTGGGAGAGATGAGGCAGCCAATTGCACACAGCGGTGCCCCACAATGAGCGGTGGATTGAGTGAATAAATTATTAGCATTTTTAAAATATATAAGATTATGTGGCCTCTTATCTACTTTCTCTTATCTTATGTTTAACCCTTTTAATGTTACACAATAATGTAGGAATTGGGGATGTTTGTTATTTGGAGAGACCAGAGAAGCTGGGATTGTTCCTTAGTGCAGAGGTTAAGAATAGATTTAATAGAGGTGTTCACAATTATGAGGGTTTTTGATAAGAGTAGATAGAGAGAAACTGTTTCCACTGGCAGTTACTGGTTGGTAACCAGGGACATAGATTTAAGATATTTGGCAAAAGAACCAGTGGGGAGATGAGGAGAATTTTTTTTTACACAGAGAGTGATGATCTGGAATGGACTGCCTGAAAGGGTGGTGGAAACAGATTCAATAACAACTTTCAAATGGGAATTGGATAGGTATTTGAAGAAGAAAAATGTGCAAGGATATAGGGAAAGAGTGGGACTGATTGGGTAACTCTTCCAAAGATCCTGCACAGGCACGATGGGCCGAATGGCTTCCTTCTGTGCTGCAATATTCTATGATAATCTCTCCAGTTTATAATAATAATAATCCTTGCATTTTGATTTAGTGCTTTCCACGTCTTCTAGACGTCTCAAAGTGCTTCACACAAGACAGTGTAAGGTGAATTGACTGTATAATTGTAGGCGAAACGCGGCAGCCAATTGCGCACTGCAGTGTCCCACAAAGATTCGTGGGTAAAAAGGTATGAGTGACCAAACTTTTTTTCTGACGGATTATTATCCCCGGCAAAGCGATCCACCAATCGACTAACAACCAGGTTCCTTCTCACTGGTCGGCGAACAGAGAGGCACGTGGATTGGGGAATCTTGCCCAACATTTGGCCCTGTTATTCCTAAATATTAATGCTATCAACTTAAGATTACGTCGGACAGAACAACTCCAAAACTTATAAGACTCGCTTTTCTGGGGGCAATAATGCCTTCGAGAAAAAAAACTGGTCACTCGATCCACGGCTGTCTGTGGGACGCTGCCGTGCGCAGTTGGCTGCCGCGCTTCGCCCACAAAATACACACAGTGAATTCCCGTGACGGTCCATTCTGTGAAGCGCTTTGAGACGTCTCGAAGACGTGTGTCAAGTGCAAGTGTAATTATTAATTGGAACACCTCCAATGTCCGCACCCGCACGCATTCCCGATAGGGCGCCCCTGATGTGCGCCGTGAGCACCCGGTAACCCCGGCAAACACCGCCAACACAAACCGTGCACTGAATGCCCAGTCAGTCCCACCCCCGGGCTCACCGCGGGGCCTCCGCCGGGGTTCCCTTCCCTTCATCTACAGGGGGCAGTTACACAGGTGGGCCTGTCCCGGCGATGCCGTCGGGTGAGCCCTGACCTTACTCCCTCTCTTTATGGGGCTCTGATATACACACATTTTCGGGCCGCTCTTCAGTTACACATCGAGCGTCCTCTCTACACACACACACACACGCGCACACGGTTACAGGCGAGGGACACGACCGCCATTCCTGTCTCCAGCTGAACGACAAAGCTCCGTTACCACGCAACCTCACCAATCTGCCCGTGCCCATGCTCGCAACCCATACTGGCTTCTGATTGGGCAACAATCACGACCCGCCCCTTCAAGTTGAGCGGTGATTGGTCGTCCGCAGCTGTCCATCGGAGCCGGCTCAGGTTGAGGTGCGCGCGGTGGCGAGAGGCGGTTATTTTTAAACCCCCCCGGAGCCAGAGCCCGCCCACTCGCTCTCTCGGTTGGTGGGTTGAGGAGCTGACTGTCGGGCAGGAGCCGCCGCTCATTTGCCGAGGCAACTGTCTGTCAAACTCCCACCGTTTCCGGCGATCAGGTTGAGGTTAGCGCGGCGGCGTTTTCTCTTTCTCTGTTCGTGTCTGTCGTCCACTGCTCTCCCGCCGTCGGTCGGGGTCAGGTGAGGTGAGGGAGAAAAAAAACTTGAGCGTCGCTGGAAAATGCTACAAAACCGGCCGTTGGAAGAATAACCGCGGGACTGGCGGCGGCGCCACTCAATCACCGACTGACCCAGGGAGTGAGTGAGTGAGGAGAAGCCGGACTGCAGGCGGGAGCGAGGCACCGAGCCCACCGAACGGCTCTTTTTATCTCCCTCTCTCCTCCCGCCCGCTGTCGGTCCACATGTATTCCTCGACGCTGACCCGCAGACCCTCCATGGCGGCGGCCGTGCTGTCCGCGCTCCTCGCTCGAGGTAAGTAAGCGAGTGGGTGTAAAAAATAACCGTTAGCGGAGGCTTAGAAGAAAGATACGGAGAGAGAGGGAGAGAGAGAGAGGGAGAGAGAGCCCGAGGATGGCCAAGGGGGAGACGTTTGCATGTCTGTGTGTGTGTGTGTGTGTGTGTGTAAAAAAAATATTACCCTCGAAAGGAGGTACCGAATCCCGGGAAAGCGGCGTGACTCCTGCCCTCGGGAGCCCCGGTCTGCTCGCCCCCGCCGACACCGGGGAACCGAAATCAGACCTCGTCCAGATACAGCCGGCACCGGGTTCACCGAAGGGGAGCTGGTCGGTGCCATGGTTCTCCGCTTTGTTTTAATACCATCTTTTGCAGGCGGTGGTTAAGTCTCTGCCCCCCCCCTCCCCACCCCCCCACCTTACCTTTCGTCCCTTTGAAGTTAAAATGTTTTTTTTTAATTCTGAAACTGATTTTGAACGAAGCCGTTTAAATCTCACGTGCGATCTGTCCGCAACGCGAAGGAAGTTCGAGGGTTTGGGAGTTGCTTGAAATTGGCTACTTCTGAAATCTTAGTCGGTCAGAAATGTTGTTGAGATTGAAAGGGGGGAAAAGAAGGAAAAAAGCTTTGAAAATCGTTATAAAAGAATGCCAGTTTGTGACTTAGTTAAACCTCCGCCTTGTGATTCCTTTGATAATTGCAGCCAGATGGAAGTTTGGAAAGTTTTTATCTTTCAGTTCGTGTCTAATGCACGTTTTAAGTCTTTTTTTTTCTGAACCAGGACAGATTTTAATTTTCTGTGATCGCGCACTAACTCAGGGGTGCAACCCAGAAACATGACATTTTGAAAAAGTAACATATTCCTGATCATCGCTTTGCATTTGAACCACTACTTTGAGGTTTGCTGCTTGTAAAAGTGGGGTGGGAGACGCTGAGTTTGGGAAAGACTCGACTCCTCTTACCGCAGAAACCCAGTTTGAAAGATGAGTCAGAAAGTTAAAGTTAATATTGGAATGTCTTTATTAACATCTGCAATATTTAAAAGTTTGCTTAGTCAGAGTTTTTTTAAAATCTTTTCGGTTCATCTTGTAAACTATTTGCTGGAGTCTCAGTCCCAGAAAGATCAGAGGAATGAAGTGGCTGTGGCATTTTTCAGGAGGCTCCACTTTTTCTTAAACGATTTGTACTAGTTTACTATTAGTATTGGAAAGGCTTTTGCCTAAACTTGGATGGGATGTTGAGTTTCTTCGACAGGGAGGTGGGAGGAAAGGAGGGAGATTATCATGGTCAAGACTGACCCCTTCTTCACCCGCCATCCACATGCATCGCTAAAAATGGGTTTGCTGGAGAGTGACCAGGAAACTCTGTTCAACATGCTTTTCCTCTCTTCCCAAGCCTAAGGCTGTAGCCCCCACAGCAGCGCCAGCTGACATTCGTTAGCATGGCATAGATCCTCGATTGAAGTTGTGTGTGGTATATATGTGCTCGCGGATCCATTTCGGGAAGCAGAAGAATGGAAGAGTTTCCAGCATGAAAATAGAAAAGCTGGAAATCCATAGCAGGTCATTTAGTGTCTGAAAAAAGATTTTTGAATGGATTAACTTAGCTTTCTCTTTCGGTGCTTATTGGCATGCTGTGTATTTTGGGAATTTAGTAATTCTTATTCCTACAAAGGCTTCACAAATTCATTGGGATTAAATTTTGCAAATTAACTGGTGTATTTACGAGTGCTTATTTAGTGATTTGAAATGCTTTTAAGAAGTAAAAATGCAAAAGTACGTTTGCACAAAAATAGGTTATGAAAATCCTTATAGTTTTGATTTTCTTAAATGTTCAAAGGCTTGATGATTATTGCAAATGATGGTGAGGGCAAACCTGGTGTGTACTTGGATCTCCAGTGCACTGTGGAAATGTGAATGAATGTATTCATTTGAGAGGGCTGCATGTGAAAAAAGTGGGACTGGTCCTTTTATACAGATTAGTGGAAGTATGATAGTATTCCTGGACAGACTCTGAGGTTAACCGTTTCCTTTCTGCGGTCTACTTTTTTCAAACGGCTTCTAACAATCAGTTGATAAGAACACAAAAAAAATAGGAGCAGGAGTAGGCCATTTGGCCCCTCGAGCCTGCCTCGCCATTTAATAAGATCATGACTTATCTTCTACCTAATTTCATTTACCTGCCCTATCCCCAAATCCCATAATCCCTTTAGTTTTTAAAAATCTATTGATCTCAGTCTTGAATACGTTATGTGATTTACACAAGTAACCATTAGATCCCATCACATAATTTCTAGCCAGGCTCCACTGGCTTCCTAACGCTGAATGAATCGATTTCAAGACTCTCACACTTGTTTTCAAATCCTTTTAGGCCCTAACATTTCCCTACCTCTCCGACCAGCTTAACCCCAAACACCCAACCCGCTGCCTTCGCTCAACTGGCTCCGACCTCTCACTCCACCAAAACTCTGGAACACTCTTCCTCTATCCCTCCAATTGCCCCTTCCTTCATCATCTTCAGGTAGCCAGAAGAACTTCCTATTCGACTGTGCCTTCGGTCATCTCCGCCTCCCCCTAGCTTGGCATCGTGCTCCACCACTGTCAAGCGCTCTGGGACGCTACCCTGTGTGAGGGGCGTTATGTAAATGGTTGCTGTTGTTGTGTGTTCTTCTTTGATTTTTTTTATGCAGTGGTTTTTCTAAAATTGCAGCCTGAAATTCAGCACATCACACAGGAATGATGCGATTTAAAAATTGATCCATTTGTGATGTTGCTGGAATTAAGAGACTTGTTAAAAAGAGATTAATTAGAGAGAGATTAATTTCACTGGAGCATTCCAAAGATAAACGCATTAAAAAGCCAGTTTCTACTTCCAACTGCACAATCTTATCTATACTGCTAATTGCCCATCCCTCTGGTAGCTATGTTGTGAAAAATGTTATTGGTGACGAATTGCCTCTTGAGACTTTATTGAGCCTCTGAGAAAGACTTGCGGTCTTTACTGTGTGCAGTCCCAGAGGATGTGACTTGTTTGTGTTATAGATGTAGAATTTGTAGATGTACACTGTCGCCCTAGGATTCAATCATTTACATATTAATGCTGTTTTTAGCAACATAATATTCAGATATCTTTATTGCAAACCAGTCACTACAGTTTACAATAAATCCAGTGAAGTGGTGACGATGTATCAACGACAACAACAACAAGATTCCATTTATAGAGCGCCTTTCACGTCGGGAGGACGTCCCAAGGCGCTGTACAGTTGGGTCAGGACCCGAGCAGGGGGGAAATGGTCAGGGTGAGGGGAGGGAAGGGAGGGGGCGAGGAGGGGGTAGAGAGTTGAGAGGGGAGCTGAAGGCACGGTCAAAGAGAAGGGATATAGCACCTTATCACATTAGTATCTCCAGACACTTTTTTGGCAATTTTTTCTGTCAAGTGTAATGTTTGTGCAAAGCAACGTCCCACAAGCAGCCATGAAGTGAATGACCAATTTTTTTTTCTCTGAGTGATTTTTGGCTAGGGCACAAGAAGAAACTTATTGAATAGTGCCATGGGTTCGCTAACATCTAGCGAAATCTGCAGGGGGAACTAGGTTTAACATCTCCCCCCTGATAATACAGCAGTCTGCTGCTACTGTCCTGGAGTCAGCCTAGACGATGAACTCAGACTCCCATAAGGGGATGGAACTCGCAATCTGACTCCGAAACAAGAGTATTACCAACTGAATTTTTTGAAGGCGGCATATAAAAAGTCAGCATGAGAAGTGTCCCTGTTACAGTGCAGTCAGCATGCATGGCCACAGTATGCATTCATTGGGTATCATTAACTGTTGTAATCATAGCCTGCCTGCTGGATCAAGACCAATAATTATGTGTTCTATAACTGGAATATTATGTGTAATGTAAAGAGAGATTTACCATTGATCAATGGCTGTAAGCAACTATATTTGCCATTGATTTGGATATGGAAGGTGGACAGAACAAAGACATCATTCCAGGGCATATGAAAGTTGTTCCTTCGATCTACAATATATTTTTCAAACTAGATTTTTGCTTGTTAATTACAAGAGTAAAACCTAATCCTAACTACTGTGAAGTGCAGCATGTTTACCAGGCAATCCTTTCTCCTTGTGGACCTGAATTTGAATTAATTCCAGATTTGTGCAATAAATTCTGCTCTCTGCTGTTTCAGTTATACATAACATTAGTTTGGGGTAGTCTTAAGTTCCTAATGAGTTTAGGGTTGTGGAACAAAAGTGTTCATGTTTAAGACCAGATTGACGTTAAATTATTTCTACCTATTTTATTTGGTCAGACAAACATATGTCAAATCTCATCCCCATGCTTAAGAGTATCCAAACAACGCAGAGTTCCATATGGGTATGCTACCTACACATGGAAATCTCCCAATCTGGAATGGAATACACACTCCCTACAATGAATCATCCGGCTTACCTAATTCTGAAAAGCACTAGCTCAGGTTGGTGACGGTTGAGGCTTCAGAGAGACAGTGTGTGTGTGGTGTGTATGTTCTGGGATACAGCTAGAGTTTAAGAAGCTAAAACTATATAGATTGCCACTAAGAGCACCATCTGTTAAGATTTCCGCAGCTTATCCAGCTAGGGCAAACCTAGCTTTTGGAGATTGGGCTTGCATGGTTAACAGGAGCTGAATGGGAGGAGTCCCTGTTCTCCGCTGCTCCTCCGAAGTCTTGCAAAGAAACCTGGCTGGCTGGTCTGTCATCAGTACTGTGGATTCTTCTGGTTCAGGAACTGGACTACAGAGACTGCCATAGAAGATTAACATGATTCTGAATGTTGCAGGGCATCATCTTGGAGCCAGTTTCTCCCCAAGTAGATCCCACTTAACCTTTCTTCCTTGACTTGATGGTGTGGACCATCATGTTTCACGCAGTTTCAGTGCTAATCTTACAATGCTTAAATCCATTCCTTGTGGAGATGACTCAAAATCTGTATTTAATCTTGATCTTTGTCACTTTAGTTTAATGAGATGTGCGAGGG